CCTTCCTTGCGTCTCCTGAGCTGTGGTAGAGCCCTCTATCCCCCCCCCAGGGGGCCTGAAGCCAAGCCAGGATGGGGTAGAGAGGCCTGAGAGCCTGGGGACAGTGGTTCTACGACGCGCTGAGGTTGAGCGTGGGCTGCCAGTGGTCCCGTGCACGGGGTCCTCAGGTCTCCAGTGACTTGCCGGTGGTTTTGGTGTGGGAGCAGTCATCTTCTTCCTCTTAGGATCTTGGTACAGAGGTTTCCTGCAGTGAGCTGCTGGGACGCCCTCTTCCTCCCCTGCCGTTTGCCTTCCTGGGCCACACAGCAGCCCCTGCTGACCTTGATCCCTGTTCTGGGGTCAGGGTGAGCATGGAGGGACCCGGTGTGCCTCCCTCCCTCTGCTTCTGAGGCTGAGCCAAGGACTCTGGACTGGCAGGCTCTGGGGGTCCAACCAGCAGAGCTTAAAGCCACCCCAGACAAGGGAAGGTGGCATTGACCAAAAAAATGTACTCTGTACCTGACCTATGTAACGATAACCCTTCTATCCATCAACTTTATAATAACAAAAACACTCATGAAAATCAAACAAGCCACTCCAGCTGGCTGAGGTTGCTAAGTGAGCTGCCACCGCCAGGTGAGGATGGCATCGCACCCCAGAGGGAGGGGCTGGGCCTTCAGGTCCTTCACATGCCAGGCCCTTTTGCTGTGGAGGGAAATAACGTGCATGGAGCAGGTGGGGTCTTGGTGGGGATCACTGACCGACAGGAGCAGGTGGGATCTTGGTGAAGATCACTGACTGATAGGAGCAGGTGGGGTCTTGGTGAGGATCACTGACTGACAGGAGCAGGTGGGGTCTTGGTGAGGATCCTGACTGACAGGAGCAGGTGAGATCTTGGTGAGGATCACTGACTGACAGGAGCAGGTGGGTCTTGGTGGGGATCACTGACTGATAGGAGCAGGTGGGGTCTTGGTGAGGATCACTGACTGACAGGAGCAGGTGGGGTCTTGGTGAGGATCACTGACAGAGCAGGTGGGGTCTTGGTGAGGATCACTGACTGACAGGAGCAGGTGGGGTCTTGGTGAGGATCAGACAGGAGCAGGTGGGGTCTTGGTGGGGATCACTGACTGACAGGAGCAGGTGGGATCTTGGTGAAATCACTGACTGACAGGAGCAGGTGGGGTCTTGGTGGGGATCACTGACTGACAGGAGCAGGTGGGATCTTGGTGAGGATCACTGACAGGAGCAGGTGGGATCTTGGTGAGGATCACTGACTGACAGGAGCAGGTGGGGTCTTGGTGAGGATCACTGACAGGAGCAGGTGGGGTCTTGGTGAGGATCACTGACTGACAGGAGCAGGTGGGGTCTTGGTGAGGATCACTGACAGAGCAGGTGGGGTCTTGGTGAGGATCACTGACAGGAGCAGGTGGGGTCTTGGTGAGGATCACTGACAGGAGCAGGTGGGGTCTTGGTGAGGATCACTGACAGGAGCAGGTGGGGTCTTGGTGGGGATCACTGACTGACAGGAGCAGGTGGGGTCTTGGTGGGGATCACTGACTGACAGGAGCAGGTGGGGTCTTGGTGAGGATCACTGACAGAGCAGGTGGGGTCTTGGTGGGGATCACTGACTGACAGGAGCAGG